TGGAACAAACATCCTGTAGGTATAAGCAAGACCAAGCAAAGCTCTTGCAGGTTTTCTTCCATCAGTGTCCCAAGTTTGAGAGCAGAGAAGATTCATGGAAAGCGAAGATCAAACTACAGAAGTTCTGATAAGCTAAAGATAACCATTTTGATGAAAAAAACTAACTCCAGGTTCCTGAAATTTGCTATGATTTTCCTTTAAAGAAGTTCACTCAAATTTCAGTTTTATAACTAGAAATTAAAGCCAAAAACTTTATAATTTTACAGGAAAACAGCTTGCTTAAGAAAACATTTCATTAAAGTAATGGATGAAGCAATGGCTAATAAATGCTCTTTGGAGTTACTTAGGCTGGAAATGCAAACAACATGCTAATACAGAAATACATGGTTTTACTATTATTTCAGGCAAACTCATGCTATAGTTAGTAAAAACAGAGTGAAAAGTTCCTGAGTGCCAATGGCATTGGGATTTTTTGCTTGCATGCTTTTTACACTTTTGTAACTCCTGTATATGATTTCACACACATACAGTGCATGGGTATGGACACAATAAAGTATATTTACACAATGGTCATGGAAAATTGCCTAGTGTTTCCCAGAAAGCATGCTTACCCAATTTAATAAAATTACTAATTTATCCATTTTCACTGAAAAAGTGCTTGAAAAATCTTAAAACACATCAAAATTATTCTGCAACTGAGAGGTACAAAATTCTTAAGAAACATAGAGCACACATAAGGACTAGACTGGAACAAGCTGATAAAAATTCAAAGTAAATTTAAACAACCTAAGGAAAATGAAATATGACCAGACACAATACTTAACTTATTAAAAATTATCAGATGGATGTATTTTCATGGTTATTTCATCCGTAAGCTACTCTGGTAAGCTAACAACCAAGCACAGAAATGGTCACCCATTTAACTGTGCTAGGGCAGCAGGATCACCTCTTGAGTTAACAAAACCTTTACTTTTTTATTTATTTTTTGTAACCCTTGGGGTTTCTTTTCCCTGGACAGCTCTTGAACACGTGCTGGACAGGCTGTCATTACTTGCATTATTAGCTCCGATGAGCGCAGAGCTCTAGGTGGTATAGCTGCAGGCTAAGGTAAGGGGCTGTATACAGATGGACCAGTGCTCACACAGAGCACTATTGAATGTCTGGGGGCTCCCCATGGGGACACATGTGAACCCAGCCTGACCAGCACAATTGAGAAGGCCCATACTGGTGGAATAGCTTTATTTCCTGTATTACCAATGCATTTACCAAAATTTCCTAAAGACGAAATCAAACAAAATTGTATTAATAGGAGTTGCTCAAACATAATTAACAGGAAGCAGAGAAATCCTGCACTGAGAGCAAGTTAAACGAGTGGCTCTGCCACTTGGTGTAAACAGCTCCATTTCACGCACGTGTGTACACTGTGCAGCACACAAACCGAATCGCAGGAGCTTTGATTACTTAATTACACAGCTTATAATTGTTTACAGCATAATAAGCATAGCCTATTTACTCTGGTTAACACCTATCCCTGTGTACTTACAAGACAAATTTATTCCAGGAATAATTTCACAATGGATTTAGAAGATTATAAATCTCCCGTTCACAAAACTGCTAAAGCTTCATTTCCTGTGGTTTGGTCTCCTCCCTCCATCCAGATAAAAAGGTGTAAAACAAAATAGCTGAACCTATGCTCCCACCTTTTTTTTTTTTTAAATAGGGGTGTCAATGTAGGGTTTTGGTTGTCTATTTGTTACCAAAAAAAATTATCAGAAATACACAGTTTCCACTTCAACTTCTGCACAATTTGATCAAAGCTGACTTGCAGGTGACAGAGGAATAAGGGTGAGACAGATGTATCCAGAAACCTCATTTTCCTAAGAAAAACAACTGAACTCTACACAGAAAAGGAAACAAATTGTAGTTTTGTCTAACGTCACAGGAAAAAAAACCCAGCATAGTATTAGGCTTTAAAACTTTATGGAGGCAAAAAGATGGAGAAGCTGCAAGGTAATGGTCCACAATTCACAGCTCAAGAATCTCCAATATTGGTTGCTGCCACAGAAAATGAAGATGCTGAAACCAGTCTTCATCTTACACAGAGAAAGCTCAGAGGAGAAAAGCACATACACAGTCTCCCTTTGGTTTACCCTCAAATGATATTATACAAATAACAATCTCACAAAATATTTTTAACTGCCATCTTCTTTCAATGACCCACACCACTGCAATAGCTTTTCATCTTGGTTTTTTTAACCCCAACAGGTATAGAATTCAAAGTAAAAATGATTCAACTATCATTTAAATGGAAAAAAAAAAAAAGGTATATTATGCCCTTCTGGCAGTACTGGAAGTTACCTCTCATGCAATGCCACTTTCCTTTGGCAGATATTCCCAATTCTTTTCCCTCTTACTCAATGCCAAAATCACTGTAACACTACTCTTATATCTTTTGGAGAAACCCTAAAAGCAGCTGCTTAAAAATACATTGGTCCACTTTAACTAGACTTGACTCTAAACCAAGTGATAAATGTCTAGAAGCCACCTTTGAAGTTTAAGGAATAGTGAAACACATAAAACCACATTCCATTGGGGAATCAATTGTTCTTCCTGCCATGGTAATTCCCTGGAAGAATACACACAAAACAATATAGCAACAAACTAAAATGCAGTCCATTGTCAGTAAATAGTGCTGGAAGATGCATAGAAGATACTGCTGGAGATTAGAACAACTGTTAGAACAAGTTACACAGTGTGGGAGGTTTGTTATACAGTTGGGTGAAAGTACAGATGTTTCTACCTTCTCTCGGCTTGTGGCATTTGCATTTCAGTAATGAAATGCATAACGAACTTTTTTTTTGTGAGCTACTAAAGGAGAGATGTACTGGATCTGTTCTCAACAGAAATGCCTTCTTTAGTAAAACCAATGCTTTATGGAAAAACTGTGACAGTCTAACTAACCACTGGTAGAGCGACTACTTTGGATTAAAAAAGGGATTCCAGGCTAAGGTTCTGGAGAGAGCACCTCAAGTAAAACTCCTTCACTGCATCACTCATAGTTGAGCTATTGCAGCAAGGTAGTTGGAGCCCGAAGTGCACAAAGCACTACAGGATGACATCAATGTGATAACTTAACAAAAACAAGCCCTTCAAACAGTAGCACCTGTACTAGATTCTGCAATAACATGGAGAGAAGCCATGAAAATATCTTCTACCATGCTGAGGTTTGCTGGCTATTTTGTGGCAAGTGCTTAAAAGAGTGGTCAAATTAGACACATTTTACAAAAAAACCAATGTTGCAAATTTGCTGACCTTTTTGGTGTTACCTGGTGACCACAAGTGGCTGTGAGCAGTTTCCTACCTATCAGAAATTTCCAAAAACTAAACATACTGAATGTGCCCTTTCAAGGTGAAGGGGACATTTTAACAATGAGTGAGAAAGTAACTCCTTTTCAAAAGAAACTTGAGCATTTTGAAAACAGTGTTTGGATATGTTCCTCTCATGGGTTTGGTTTCGTTGCTGAACGCAATGTGAGTGTGCCACCTACAAAACCCTCTTCTACCTGTGCACTTTCAAAGGATAGAAACAGAACTTTCTAAACTGTTAAAAATCTTCCAAGTGACTTTCAGCAGGTTAAAAATATAAACATCCAACACCTTCCAATTCGTTTTGAAGAACTGATTGAGATCAGAGAAGATGGTCACTTTCTAGCCCAATTTCCAGCAAAACCTTTGCAAAACTTGCAGACGGGATGGAAAAAATGTGTGTAATTTAGTAAAAGTTAGTAAGCACAAGCAACAGTCTACTCGTCCCTTGGAACCTATGCATCTTTTAAGGTATCTTTTTCAGCTGTAACACCCATTAAAACCAAGTATTGAAATCAATTGAACTTTGAACCAGACATTCAAACTGCTGTATCATGAAGTGTTAAACAAATATTTTAAAAATTAGTAAGCGTATTCAATCATATAGATCTCAATAAAAATACTGTTATTAATAGCAAGACTTTTAGAGCAATTTTACCATTGATAAGTAGCATGAAAATTATTTTAAAGTACTATTTATTTCATTTTTATTTCATCCTTTTTTAACTTCTCTTTATGTTTTAGAATATACATAATATATGAGTACACTGGTACATTTATATAATTTATAAATAAATACATATATTTGGATTGAGCACTCAGAAATTTTTTTACTACTGGGCTGCACACTCAAAGAAGTTTAGAGCACAGATCTAGATGACCAGATGCAAGTACCCTCTACTGAAAGCCTGCCACTTGATTGTACAGAATAATTCTGTGGCCTAATTCTTTTTTTTCCATTCTTACATCCCTCTTACAGCAGCATTCTTGGCTAACCCATGTGTAAATAGCTCTGTGTTTATAGCACTTCAAAAGGTTCCAGATTTCTTCCACAAATGTAAGCACACTTTTGTGTCAGAAGAGGTGGTGATACCATGTGAAAGAGTTATTGTCCAGTACTCTTCACCAGAAAATGAAAACAGATATGGACTGCATCATCCTATATCAATGTCTGTCTAGTAACACATCTGCTTATGTGCACATATCATTTAAATACTGGGGCAGGGATAGGATGCAGCTAGTTAGGAATATTTAAACAAATTTATCATAGTGAAGGAGGTCCTAACTGAAGGCTCACAAGGCAATTCCATTTATGTGTCAAGTAATACATACAGGAATACAGTAATTCTTGTGTTGCTCTGTCACTACATAGTCTAGACTAAGATGTGGAAATTATCATATTAATCATACTAAATTCCACAGCCCTCAAGAACAAGTCATTTTGGAAGTCCACACCACCAAGCAGCCAAAGCCAACACAGCAGATTTATATGCTTCACTACTGGTTTCACAGTGAACAGATAAGATGCAGATCATACATATTAATTCTCTGACTACACGACTTCAAAACCAAGGATTACATTCAGGGCACAAAAGTGAATACATCTGATCTCTTAATGAATATTTGACTCTTACCTTGCACCTTATCTGAACACAGCTCCTTGGCTCGATCCCTCATTATTTGTGGAATCAAAACATCTTTTTCTACATGTCTCAGCTTCGAATTGTCTGCAAGAGTGGAAAAAAAAATGTTTATTTTGAAAAAAAGAACTTTATTATTTATATATGAGATAGAAGTCAATCTAAAGAAACAAGACAGCATTGTTTATACAACATACACTAGTAAACTAATCCTGTCACAAACAGCAGCAGAAAGTACCATGGAAAGATCACACAGATCAAAAGGCTGGAAAGTCCAAAATTTAAAATTGCTCAGATACAAATTAGAGAATTATCCTGAATATTTCTGTTCTGCTCAATGTGCACAATGAACCAAAAATAAAGGACAACATTCTGGCAGCACATTTTAATTTCTGCCTAACTAAATAGAAGATCTGCATACAGAGTGCACAAAGGTTGAGAATTATTTTTATTTCAGGATACAAGTATTTTTCTACATTACCTGTAAAAACTTGCTTTTTTACTTACTCTCATAATGCTGAGAAACATAGCATGTATTAGACCACAACCTAAAATTTGTATTTCTATGTGGAAGACTTCAATTGTTCAGAAAAAAACCCAAAGTCTCTTCAATGGAGGATCTAGGAGTTTTTTCACTGAGAAATCCTACTTAACAAGAACAAATGCTGCTGCCTGAATTTCACACTTAAAAGTACAGTTGAGGTTCATTTTCAGTTGTCTCCAGAATTCAGTACTCTGAGTATAGCTAGTGATTTTGAATAAACACAGACCTTTGAAAAAAAAAATGCATTTCCAAATCCACTTTCTTCAAAACAAAGGGATGAGAATTTATCAAACACAGTTTTTTACTTCTCAGCTTCTGAGTTAAAAACTCTTTAAAGGACATTTGTTCAGAACACTGTATAGTTCAACAAAGTTATATACCTGGTTTTCATCCTCAAATACACTATTTATTCACCCTTTGATGTAGACAATACATTTCGGAATAGCATCAGATGGGATGCTAACATTATGAAAACTCTACGGTCAGATACAGATATTTTGAATGACAATCATTTCATTTTAAAATTGCTTATAGAAACACCAGATTAAATGAAAAAATTAAAAGTGCAATGTATTGAAACTAAGAGATGAAGCAGATTTTAAGTTACCTACGGCTTAAAAACACTTTTTCAGAGCATTTTCTGTTACTTCTACATTAAGAAAAAAACAAGAGACTAACATTAGTCATTCTTAAGTCATCTTTTAAAGTTTATTAATGCTAAGAGATTACATTATAAGGTTACACAGTACTGAACATATGATATTTACTAGTGAAATCTGGCAACAAAACAGATCACAACAATGAGTAATATACAGAATCTGAACTAGACCTAGATTTCTCCTCAAAAATATCTTACTTGGAATTTTTACACCAGAATAAAACCAAAGTCTATTCTATAAATATGACAAAACCACTCATGACTTAATTTGCTTCTCTGCTCTGACTTTCATGAGGTAAAGTAAGTACAAAGTGCAATTGCTGTGCCTATCATTTAGCATGTTAGAGACAACATGAAGCTGTCATAAAACTTTCAAACATATTTTTTAAAAAGGACAAATCAGTTCAGTTGAATGACATGGCTGGAACTGGCAACACCAAGCTACATGCCCCAGCTCTACTCACTCCAGTGACAGCAAGCTAGCACTGCAGTCCTCCTGCCCTCTCCCTATCCCTATGCTCTTTTCCCTCTGCCCACACAGACCAGCTCAACAACCCTGTGGTGAATGAAAGGGGAAGTTCATTTGGTTTAAAGGTAAATAAATTTCTTGTCAGGCCACTTTTCAGCTGGATAAATTCCCTAACCCAGGTCAGTACAGAACTCCAAAATGGGCCTATAAGAGACCTCATAGCAACTTTTCACTATCTGAAGGGGCTACAAGGGAGCCAGAGAGGGACTCTTTGGTAGGAACTGCAATGATAGGACAGGGGATAACAGGTTCAAATTGAAGGAGGGGAAGTTTAGGTTAGATATTAGGATAAAGTTTTTCCCTGTGAGGGTGGTGAGACACTGGCACAGGTTGCCCAGGGACATGGTGGCTGCCCCAACCCTGGCAGTGTTCTAAGCCAGGCTGGATGAAGCCTTGAGCATCGTGGTCTAGTGGGGAGGTGTCCCTGCCCATGGCAGGGGGGGCTGGGACTATATGATCTGTAAGGTCCATTCCAAGCCCTAAAATTCTATGAAAATTCTATGAATTGTGTAAGACTAGGACAAGAAGAAAGACTGAACTGTCATGAGCACCACTGGCTCAAATTAGAGCCTAAACTTCCCCCACCTCTATCTTTTTTAAAACTTAAATTGATTATACTGGTGCTTAAAGTAGGCAGACTGACCTATAAAAGTGGATACAGTTAAGCAGTAGGTTCCTATCTGTCACCAATAGGGAAGTCTTACCAGTGTCCCATTACCTTCTCTCACCCTCATCACATCAGCACTTCTATGCACCTAACCACACAGTGAGTGACTACGTCAGAACAGAAAACTAACTCAAATACAAGCAAAAAGTGCTTCTCAGCTGATTTACACTTTGAAGTAGTTAGATATACTTCCAAAAATTAGAATCATAGAATATCCTGAGTTGGAAGAGACCCACAAGGATCACTGAATCCAACTCAGCTCTGCATAGACTGAACTTTTATGCCACAGCATACATGGAAATGTAGCAGATAGCGAAGAAGACTTTAGGGCCTGGGATGAGCAGTTGAGCCTTCCCCCACTGGCAGAGCTAGCTGGAAGCATTCAGGGTTCTCACAACCACAAAAGCACAGGGCTCAATGCAAGGATCAGCTACCCACTGACAAGAGAAGAGGATGGGGATGACAAAGATAAGTGGATGGGGATGCAACTGAAGACTAGAAAACAAACAGGGCAGGGCCGCCTGGAAGAAACAAACAAGCAAAGAAAAAGAAAACCAAAACCTAAAAAGAAAAGGCCTCCCTGTTAGCCTAGAACAGTCAAAAAACTTCTGGGGTCTTATCTTAGCTCAAGGACACAATTTTCTCTTTGATTATTCAAAAGGAAAGGGGCCTAAGACTGACAGCAAGGAGTAGCTATACTGGTGTTAACACCAGCTCAACCAGAACCATGACAGAGCTGTGCTCCAGGCAAACTCCCTCTTTTTAGTTCCATGTTGTCAAACCTGCAGAGGCTGAAAATGCAGGAAGAAGAGGGCACATCAGGACACGGGATGGCATCGAGTAGAAAGAATGAGAAGAGATCTATAACAGTAACTCAGTATAAAGGAAACAAGAATAAAGACCATTTACAAAATCATGTACAGTTTTTAGAAGAATGTTTGTTGGTAAGTATCAGTTTTAAATTTATTGATTTTATTTCACAAATTTTTGTCTTTACAGAATTTTGCTGTGTTAAGTTAGAAAATGTTCAGTGCTGAATAATGGTTGAACTCGATCGTAAAGGTCTTTTCCATATAAATGATTCTATGAAAAGCCGAAGTCATACAAATTATCTTATACTGTCTAGGAGGTAGTTTCAAGCATCTGGGTGCAAACACCTCTCCAAATAGCTCCAATGCAGATGTTCAGTTTGGGAGTACTATACCTACTCATGAGTTTCAATTGTAACATCTTAAGAATTTGAATATTCTTCCTTTATTCTAAACTATCCATTGCACTACAATTACAGTGATTTTCCTTTAAGGATGTTAAAACACTTTACTGAAGTTAATATCCCTATCATTTATACAGAGTATTAAAGAAAATAAGGCAAAAATATTAACAGTAGCAGATACAAGATGGAAAAATATGTTTATGTGCAGAGTAACTGCATTTCTGATAGTGATGTACAAGCATTTGCAAAACCATCATCAATCCAACCTCATCAGCTCTGCAGTAACATATATGGCAAGAACTTACAAAGAAACACCACCTCTTAAACAAGACTCCATCAAAAAACATGAGACAACTGTGATGTAAAACTATCAATTCCTTTTGCCTTTTTTCGACTATATTACCGTTTCTAAAATAAGTACCTTTTTCCCCTTTGGAAAGTTGACTATTCTGCACTAAGAGAAATAAAACATATTCCACTACCAGATTTGCTGCAGACTAGTCCCTACAGAAGAACCTCCATTTCAACCCTCTTATTCCTGTTTTATCTTCAAAACATTATTCCCAGTCAAGTAAGATACATGTTTTCTTACAGTTTACCTTCTGCATTTGAAAGCTCATACCTTTGGCTCCATCCACATCATCCACACACTCTTCCTGGTCATCTGGGTAGGCTGTTTGAGACCATCGTGGCCTTTGGCCGCAAAGTGAACCAATGAGAACATGTTACCTCTCAGCTAGCAGAGGGCCAGAAAAATGTTAGCAGCAGCTTATATAAAAAGTTTATAGCTAAGTTATTTAATTGCACTACTTCGAGGGATTCACTCATTTTTCGTATCACTTGGTTTCTGTGCTGCTAACACTGTTTCATCCCAAAGTTTTGTTTTAAAACATTTGCCTATGAGCTAATTATAAAAATACACTAGAAAAGCACACTTAGGAAGGAGCAGCACAGTGTTCCCTGCATACTTATTGGCAAACATTCCTTTCATCAATCACTATTGGCTCTAGAGCTTAAATTCCTTCCAAAAAATCAGATTTATTTTAGTGTACTTGTAAGGGGTTTGAATTAAAATAATTTAATTATAGCTTACTACTCCTCCAGGAAAAGAATGCATTTAACTCAAAGTTATCTCTGTTACTCTGCCTAGCTTATCCCCCTTGTATTAAAAAAAAAAAATTACCAATCTTATGTGAAGTCATGTGAAACCATTTACCACTACGTGCATCATAAAAAACTTAACCAAAAAGTCTGTATCATTGAATATGTTATCAACTACTTGAAACCTCTATTTGAAAACACTAAGTCACACATCAGAACAAATTCATTTAGAGACAGACTCATTAAATCATGGGGAAAAAAACCCTTACATTTCTAAAATCTTAGGGTATTTTCCTACAAATGCAATTTGATGTATCAATGTAATTAATACTTCAGTCTTTGAGGGTTTCTGTGCCTTTACTGACAAGGGATTCATGGGGCCAAAGTGAATAAAGTTTCAGCATACTGCTTTGTAACCTTGGTCCCACAAAAACCATTAAGAATCCTCCTAAAGGTAAAGGATTTTATCAGTCAAAAACATCTAGTGTGAACTGACAGCTGATGGACCAGGACCAAACACCTTTGTGCATATGTGAAATGCTACTGAGTTTAGTCATTTCATTTGCACATAGGTGTCTGCATACAAACTAGAGCCTTAAGTACTTTGCTCTCTTCGAAGGTTTGAAAGTACAGAAGGCCAATATGAAATTACAGAAGTGTTATAATCCAAGTGAAACTACATACATGATATCCTAAGACCCTGATTTAAAAGCAGAAGAAGCTGAGCAGTGCAGCTTCTCTATGCACCAACCATTTCTTCTTCTTTGAATGTACATGAATAAATTTATTTGTATTAAAAAACAGCTCCAGATTTTGAGATCTTTCTAATACTGACATCATTTTAAATGAAGATGGAGTAGAGCGATGACAACACCAGGGAAAATTTCCAAAGCTTTAACTTCTCACCATTCTATCATCACCTCAAACTCAATTTTCACCTTTTTCACTGACTGAATTTGCTTTCTTACATTTTGCTTTGGGGCTCCTGTTCCTGCAATACGGCAGTACTGGATTACGAGAACACTGCTTGCTAAAAGTGAACAACAGCTGTATTACAGCAAGTCTGTAATGGCTAGAAAGAAAAGTAAAAGCAGACCTGACACAGCACACTTTTTTGTTACATGCAGATTGCAAATGCTCATGAACCTAGTGAGTAATAAGTAAAGCCAAGCCTGAGGTTGCTTGTGAAGATTTTGACATGAGGATATATTTTTACACTGCTGATCACACAGCAAAGCCAGTTACTGGGCCTGAAAATTAATTACAGATTAAGGCTTAATATTTACTACTGGAAATAATGCAGATTCATTAACACCCAGCCTGAACCATTGTTCAAGTATGGCAGATCTGCCAGTTAAGAAAACATAGGGTGTGAGCTACCTACAAAGGGAACACCTCATCCCACCTCAAATCTCTTCTGACAACTGTAGATGACAATTCCTGCAAAATGCACAAACCAGAGGCAGTAACAACTAGGGCTGGGGACTGAGGACTAAACTAGCAAAGACAGCCCTAATTCCACCATTGTAAAGCTTCTGAATGCTTCACTTAGTAACTGATGTAAACCCTCAACACAACTTTCTCTCACTTAAAGACACCATGCAGAAGTATTTCAGCAACCAAATACACATTTGGGGTTTTTTCCTGGGATGCCAAAAATATACTAACACCACAGATATGAGTGGATTCCTACATATAGGCTAGGGTTCCATACTTTGAGCCAAGCCCAAACTTTTGAACGCCTCTTGTCTGAAACCAGTCCCAAGTGTACAATCCCTATTTCTTCTACACCCTTTCTAACTCACTGTGGATGTTGTCCAAGAATTTCCTGCTTACTGCCACCTGGAGTAAGAAATAATTAGTGGGTTTATGCAGGACTTTTCTCTATCTGAATTGTATAAACCAAACAAACCACATAAAATAGAGCATGACAAGAGAGTGATATCAAAAACTGTGCAGTAATTTGCATCAGAAACTAGAGATGAGTAACAGGTAAATTTGACACAGAAAGAGCAAAGTACCCAACATCTGGACAAAGAAGGGATTCAGAGAAATCTAGCAACCAACAAAAAACCCCAATTATTACAACAGATGTTAACCACCAAAGATTTCCCACTATATCCAATAATGTTAATGGGTTGCTCCGGCACCATGTAATCCTCTTTACCATTTTTCAGAAGTGTGTGACAAGGTGTAATGAAAAAACAATGTAAATCACAAATAAAAATTTCATTTAAAATAAAACAATTGGCCAAACTCCTTGAGAGCTTGAATATCTGTCTTTTTAACCACTTCTTTCAAGATTAATTTTACCCCTTTCATTCCAAATAATGAGCATCATACACAAATAAAAAACAAGGCTTTTGAAAAAACAGGACCAAACACCATTTTTTCCTGCCTTTTAAATTTTTTTTAACTGAAAGGACTAAGAGACAAGAAAAAACAAAAACCCTTTGATTTCTGTACCTATATATTTAATGAACAATCAGTACATATAATACAAATAAAATACAAGTCTGGGAAACTAACATTGCATATATGAGCAAAACACTCCAGTGTTTTCATAAGTTCCAGAGCATGAGGTGTTCTGACATGAATACAGGGCTGAAAGCATTTTGGTTACATTTATACAAGGATTGTAGGTCTTATTCCAGCACTTAGGTTATTAATCACAAAACTTATCTAAAAGAAGTTTAATTAAAAGCTGAAAAAAAAGAGCTGAAAAGCTCTTTTTCCTCTTACTTATGTATTTTTGCCCTTTAAATTCAGCATTATTTCATCTCCTACTATTTTTTCCTTTCTATCTTTCGAAGCTACGATTTCATTCCTTTCGGTATATTCTTCCAGCTCTGGTCTTGCTGATCTTGCCACTTTGAAACAAGTCACAATCATTCTGCAAGCCCAATCCTCTCCATCCACTGAAAAACTGCTGGTGTATTTAGCAACCTGGATTTCCACATGACAAAAAGAAACAGACATTTAAGTAGCTTAGGAAAACCAGGAAATCTTCAGCCTCTCTGCTTTTGAGTCCTATGTCTAGGACAGGTGCCAAAACCTGTATGGGATGTCTCCGCTACTGTCAATAACTCCACTTTTCTCTTTACAGATCTGTCAATCTTCAGCTAGGGATGCAGACATCACCACCTGAAAATGACAACTGTGACCAAGTGCACGTTACAAAGAAGATGAGCTTTCTCATAACCCACGGCCTCTACTACTGAAAACAGCACCCCATATAGTTTGGAAGTGCTGCATACAAAAATCAAATTCAATGCTGGGCTATTGTACATTCATTCTAGAGAAGGATATAACATAATAGTGTAACATTTTCCTTTCTATATACCTTTCTGAAGGTGTACCAAGTAAGCTTGCCAATCATACTAAATTGGGTGGAGCTGTTGACTCCCTCAAAGTTAGAGAGGCCTTGCAGAGACACCTAGACAACTTACAGGGCTGGGCAATCACCAGCCATATAACATTTAACAAAGACAAATGGGGGATTCTGCACCTGGAACAGGAAGTAAGTACAGTCTGGGGAATGAGATGCTGAACAGTTTTCATAAGTTCCAGAGCATGAGGTGTTCTGACATGAATACAGGGCTGAAAGCATTTTGGTTACATTTATACAAGGATTGTAGGTCTTATTCCAGCACTTAGGTTATTAATCACAAAACTTATCTAAAAGAAGTTTAATTAAAAGCTGAAAAAAAAGAGCTGAAAAGCTCTTTTTCCTCTTACTTATGTATTTTTGCCCTTTAAATTCAGCATTATTTCATCTCCTACTATTTTTTCCTTTCTATCTTTCGAAGCTACGATTTCATTCCTTTCGGTATATTCTTCCAGCTCTGGTCTTGCTGATCTTGCCACTTTGAAACAAGTCACAATCATTCTGCAAGCCCAATCCTCTCCATCCACTGAAAAACTGCTGGTGTATTTAGCAACCTGGATTTCCACATGACAAAAAGAAACAGACATTTAAGTAGCTTAGGAAAACCAGGAAATCTTCAGCCTCTCTGCTTTTGAGTCCTATGTCTAGGACAGGTGCCAAAACCTGTATGGGATGTCTCCGCTACTGTCAATAACTCCACTTTTCTCTTTACAGATCTGTCAATCTTCAGCTAGGGATGCAGACATCACCACCTGAAAATGACAACTGTGACCAAGTGCACGTTACAAAGAAGATGAGCTTTCTCATAACCCACGGCCTCTACTACTGAAAACAGCACCCCATATAGTTTGGAAGTGCTGCATACAAAAATCAAATTCAATGCTGGGCTATTGTACATTCATTCTAGAGAAGGATATAACATAATAGTGTAACATTTTCCTTTCTATATACCTTTCTGAAGGTGTACCAAGTAAGCTTGCCAATCATACTAAATTGGGTGGAGCTGTTGACTCCCTCAAAGTTAGAGAGGCCTTGCAGAGACACCTAGACAACTTACAGGGCTGGGCAATCACCAGCCATATAACATTTAACAAAGACAAATGGGGGATTCTGCACCTGGAACAGGAAGTAAGTACAGTCTGGGGAATGAGATGCTGAACAGCAGCACCACAGAAAGGGACCTGAGGGTCCTGGTTGATGGCAAGTTGATTATGAGTCAGTAGTGTGCCCTGGCAGCCAGGAGGGCCAACCCATGCCCTGTGGTGCATCAGGCACAGCGGTGCCAGCAGGTTGAGGGAGGTGACTGTCCCACTCTACTCTGCACTGCTGCAGCCTCAGCTTGAGTCCCCCAATACATACACAGTGATATAAAGGTATTATAGAGCACCAAAAGGAGGGCTACGAAGAGTGTAGAGGGGAAGCCATACAAGAAGTGGCTGAGATCACTCGGCCTGGAGAACAGGACACTGAGGGGAAACCTCATAGCAGTCTACAGCTTCCTCACAAGGGGAAGGGGGAAGGGGAGGGACAGGCACCAATCTTTTCTCTCTGGTGACTACTGACAGGACCCAAGGGAATGGTATGAAACTGTGTCAGGGGCGGTTTAGGTTGAACATTAGGAAAAAGTTTATCACAGAGAGTGGTTGAACACTGGCACAAATTCCTCAAGGAAGTGGTCACGGCACCAAGCCTGCCAGAGTTCAAGAAACATTCAGACAACTCTCTCAGGCACATGGTGTAATTCCTGGGGATGTCCTGTGCAAGGCCAGGAGTTGGACATTGATGATCCTCATGGGTCCCTTCCAACTCAGGATATTTTATGATTCTATGAATATAAATTTTGTCAATGGATTTATCTACCAGCTTACTTATATAATCACCTAACAACAATCACAGTTCCATCCCAAACTGTGGCTGCCAAAAAAACTCCACCCATACAAATCATGACATAATTCACACGTTTTACATTCTGAGCTTTAGGGGACTTCTTGGTATTCATTCCTTACTGCCTGGCTTTGCCATGAGAATACTTGTGTCTTTTGTGACCATAAAATGAAGCATCAGTCACAGTGACAATTTAGTGAACTGTCATTCTCCCTGCCAAGAGGCAGTTAACAATGATAGCACTAAAAAGGACTGCACCAGGGTATCTGGGTTAACACCTTACTAATATGAGCAGGGCAGCTCACACCTCTTAGAGCTCTTGTTCTAGTTTCTCTACTACCTCGCTTAGACATCTCTGCTTTTATTTCATGGTCTGAGGTTTTCAAAGCCCTACGAGCCATGGATTGATGGGAAGTAGGGGGAGGAAAGCAAAAGACACTGGATAACAAGGTAGCAGATTTAGAGAGGTGTCAGTAAGCAATGCCACTGATCAGCAGATGAATCTTGGTATTAGTGTCACATAACACATACCTAAAGTACACCCTGAGCAATTCTACCACAGCTAATGTACAACTATGACACGGATTAGGAGGGACAGACAATGGCATTATACACACAATTAGGGCAGCAGAATGCTGATGACTTCAGTGTTTGGAGCCAACCTTTTTGCTCTACACTGAAATTACAATGGGGTGAGTTAAGCTGGTGTAATCACTAGACTTTTTTCAAAGGACAACTGGGAAGCAAAATGATGCTTC